GATTATTTAATGTTAAGGATGTAAGGGCTAAGTGCACAGTGGGATGTGCTCGTTTGAACAGATGATTGTCTTGGACAGGTGGCCTTTTGAGCAGGTCCAACTGTAGTAGGTCAAAGACTCTCCCCCGAGGGCTGTGAATGAAACAACAAGTTATTGATTTATAACTGACACATCTTAACGATTGAAGAAACGTATCATTTAATATGCAGGTTAAATCATGGCTTCCTTTGTCATCTAGGAGCGTTTATTGAGGTGTTAGAAAATCATCTGTGGTTCATAGATCTAATTTGTGAGAGAAAAAAGAACCATTCATATTATTTCACTTTTTTAAAATTCTCCATTCTGATCCATAAATTGGGAGAGAGAAAAAATGCACGATATTTTTTTTTCCATTCTCCAGTGTGATCCATAATTTTGGAGGAAAAAAAAATCCTATTTCACTTTTTTCCATTCTTCATTGTGGTCCGTAATTTTTTTGGGGGGAAAAGAGCCATTCATAGTTTTTCACTTTTTTCCATTCTCCATTGTTATCCATAATTTGGTAGATCAAAAAAACAACCCAAGTTAATAATATTTCACTTTTTTGCAATCTCTTTTGATGTCCATAATCTGAAAGAGTTTTTGTTTTTTAAAAGAAGAAGGAAAAAAATCATTCATGATACATGTAATTTTTTTTCTAATCACAAGCGAATGGTCTATAATGTACCTTAAGACGCTGTGAAAAATGCAACCTGGAAAAAATACGATTTTTTAAGATCCCTACATTCATCTTTTGTTCAAGAGCTGCTATCGTAGCTATTTTCATTTCAGTTTGTTTTTTTTAAATTTCATATCCCTATTCAACGCGGCGTAACTGTATGGGAGCCACAAAAATGTGATGCAGCGTGGTGGAATCAGGCTCTCGTCAATTTTTGGGCATATAGAGTTATTGGTATCATCTTAAAGCTTGTTCACTTGTCTTTATTTGGATGAAAATAATATATATTTATTTTGAATACAAGTCGAGATATTTGCCAAAGGAGGAGGTGGGGGTCACCTGTTTTCATAGGTAAAA